GGCGGCGCGACCGCTGCCACCGCCGCCGCCGCCGCTGCTGCCGGTCTACCAGCCTACACCATCAGCCAGGGTGGCATCTCCTCGCGGCATCAGCTGCACCCACATCAGGTGCATCAACGCGGCACCGCGGTAACGCACGGCCAGCCCGCCGCGAGCACCCACGTGTCCTCCCTGTATCCAGAGATTCTGGCGCTCATCTTCAGCTACCTGGACGTACGCGACAAGGGACGAGCCGCTCAAGTATGCACCGCGTGGCGCGACGCTGCCTATTATCGCTCGGTTTGGCGAGGAGTCGAAGCGCGACTGCACCTCAGAAAACAGGCGCCGGCGTTATTCGCCAGCTTGGTAAGACGCGGCGTGAAGAAGGTACAGGTGTTGTCACTGCGACGCGGTCTCAGCGATGTTCTAAAGGGCGTGCCGAATCTTGAGGCACTCAACTTGTCCGGTTGCTACAACATCACCGACTCCGGTATCACAAATGCTTTTTGCCAGGAGTACCCGTCCCTCATCGAGCTCAACCTATCACTTTGCAAGCAAGTGACGGACACCTCCCTCAGCAGGATAGCACAGTTCCTGAAGAATCTCGAGCATCTTGAACTGGGCGGTTGCTGCAACATCACAAACACCGGTTTACTGCTGATCGCATGGGGCTTGAAGAAACTCAAACGACTGGACCTACGAAGTTGCTGGCACGTTTCTGACTTGGGCATTGCTCATTTGGCTGGACTGAATCGCGAGACCGCCGACGGTAATCTCGCTTTGGAGCACCTGAGTTTGCAGGACTGCCAACGATTGAGCGACGAGGCGCTTAGGCACGTGTCGCTTGGCCTCACCACCCTCAAGTCCATCAACCTGTCATTCTGCGTATGCATCACCGATTCCGGCGTCAAACATCTGGCCAGGATGTCGAGTCTACGCGAGTTAAATCTACGCTCGTGCGACAACATTTCCGACATCGGCATGGCGTACTTGGCCGAAGGCGGCAGTCGCATCACATCGCTCGACGTGTCGTTTTGTGACAAGATTGGTGATCAGGCACTCGTGCACATTTCTCAAGGTTTGTTCAACCTAAAATCCCTGTCACTGTCCGCTTGTCAGATTAGCGACGAAGGTATCTGCAAGATCGCCAAGACCCTACATGACCTCGAAACCCTCAACATCGGCCAGTGCAGCCGGCTCACTGACCGGGGTCTGCACACCGTCGCCGAGAGCATGAAGAATCTCAAGTGCATCGACCTGTACGGCTGCACGAAAATCACCACCAGCGGCCTCGAGCGGATCATGAAGCTGCCACAGCTCAGTACGTTAAATCTTGGTCTGTGGCACGTGCGGTGATGGCTTTTTCCGTGGCTAAGTGCTCTGGACGAACGCTGCCAACGTTACCGTCATCGTCATCGGCACCGTCATCGTTACCAAGGCGACGACAACTCCTCGCAGCGACCCAAGGATAACTTCGTCTTCGCGCGCATGTTCCTGCCGCAGGCGGTAAGTCCGTTTCTGTCGCTCGGCGCACGAAGTCGCCCGAGCGCCCTCGACATCGGTATCTACGACGTCGTCGGCGAATAGCGTAAATAGCGAATTTAGCTTGTTTCTCCGCCCGAGACGAGAATTCTCCCCCCTCTCTCTCTTAAAGGGGGAGGGGGGGGGAAACAACCGCTGGTTCTCGAGGGGCACTGTTTTTCAAGATTGGCCCAATTTTTACTCTTTAGAGTAAGATTCCTTTTCAAAGAATTTAGAGTATTTATTTTCGTACTTTCAACATATGACAAATTAACTCGTCGAAATAATAATTAATTTGAATCTTTAATCTAAAAATGTTATATGTCGATTGCCAACTGCGTGTCATTGATCATAGCCTTGTAGAAGTAACGAGCGAGAAAATCCCAGCCGACGTTCATTTCCCTTTTTTTTCCTAAATTTTCGAGAGCTAAATTGTCGAGCGAGCCGAGAATTGAAACGAGGCATTTGATACTCGTCGAATTCTTCGTTTAATTAATCTAGCGATCGTCTTCGACGCGCGACGATCAAGTTTGGTCGGAAATGCGTATGTGTGTTTGAAACAGTCGCTTTTTTTGTTCTTTTTAGAAAATAAAACGCTCTTCGAAAGGACATAATGCCATTTGTCTGAAAAACGGTGCCCTGAAAAACAGGCTCAGTTTTCAATCTTTAAGAGTGAGATTTCTTCGGAATGATAATTTACTCTAAAAGTTTTAGAGAGACTCTTATACTGATTGCCGTGTTTGCATTACATAACACATAGGAACATACCTTTGTCATGGCAAATTCGAACTCAGCGATGTAATAATGGTTTCAATCTCTAAATCAGTTTTTTTATCGCCATTTTTTTCTTGGAACACGCGAGTTTCAACAGAAATGTTAGTAACAAAAATATGACATAATAATTAATGTGCATCCTGAACAAAAATTATGATATGTACTTTAAGAGTACATAATATACTTTTTTTTTATTAAATAAGTTAAATCAATTCGAACGTGATAAATATTACTCATTCTTCGTTTGGATGTTTCGGAAATAAAACGTGATTATATTGATAATAATTCACTTATTTTTAATTATGTGCTGTGTTATTAGTTAATGATTGTGAAGTGCAATATGAATTAGCGACGCATTTTCAACAATTTCTATTAATGAAATTGATCAAAGACTAGATCCAGAATACAATTTTCAAAATACAACTTGAAATCGCGAGTGCAGGTAAAGGCGTTGGTGCAGATAAAGTCGCGAGTGTAGATCACTGCACTAGCGAGGATCGCGGCGATGTTACATTTGCTTATATAAACAACTTCTCTTATAGTTACTGTTTTTCCAGACTTTTCAAAATATTTATAAACAAATTTTAATGGAGTTTCTTGCTGTTATAATCATACTTTGGATTATTTTTTCTTCTGATATACATCGATCGTAACTTAATTCGTTAATTGATCTATTCTTTAGTATGTTTTGATTGTAAACGCTTATTGTTTAGTTTAGAATTAAAATATGTCATTATATTTATATATTTCATCTTAGTTTTATCATGTATTAAATCAACCTTTATTAAACTTTATTGATTTAATGACAGCTAATTTTGGATATTCGATATGGAGAGCTAATTGATTGCGATTCCTCGAGGTTTTTCCTACTAGTTGTATCTAATAGTCATTTTTTATAGTGAATAATGATTTAATTTTTAAAATAGCATTGCAATAGTTCTACACCAATTATTCGTAGTTTTCGAGATGGAAGTTTGTGTTGGAGGACGGATTGAGTCAACCGCCGTTGCAGTGAAGTTTGGGTGAAGTCGTAGGTGCAGGTCATGAGCGATGCACATGCAGATGGAGACGCGGAGATATCAAATATCCGCATCAAATTCTGCGGAATTGTAATATGTCTTAACAAAGCGTTTTAAAGACGGAAGCGCTTGGATTATTTCATGTAAAATAGGAATAACAAGCAAAAAAATTAATCATTTTAAACAAGAGGATTTAGGGGAATAAATGATGAAAAAAGGAACTCGTTTACCTTAACTCTGCCTAAATTTCTATTGTGTTTTTGTGTACATCAATAAATAAATTCAGGTGAAAGATTACTTGAGCAATCAGAACGATCTCTATGTTCAAATCAGAATCATTTAACAACTCAGATTTATCTTCTTGAAAATTATTTACTTTAATGACAGACAGACTCTTGTTTTATCTTTTTGATAAAAGTCTATTCATATATATTTAGGAGCTATTCGTTTATTTTTGATAGTGGACCATGTTTTCGACCAATAACTCATAGAAATTGATTTTCTCCACTCTGCTTATTTGCAATCTTCGATTAAGCAAATCTAATAGTTCATCTCTGCTACCAAGATGATTCCTATCATTCATCTCTTCAGAATTTTTTTTTGTATAATAAAAGGTCGCATTACAGCAACTGGAAGTTTTTTTAGTATTATACATTTTAATGGAAGAGTGAACAGAGTGTATGCATACAAAGGATAAAATAAAATAATAAAAATTTTAACATAAAAAAAATTTTAATTTTTATATTATATATTCATAACGGAAGTTAGACTTGTTAATTTTGTTGAAAGTTATAGATATAATATACAGATGTAACAAAAATCCGCCTTTAAAGAAGAAAATCCTCAAAATAAAGACGTTATACACTAGTTGAATTTGTAATGAGAAAGTTTACAGCATCATTGAGTAAAGAAAGATTGATTCTTATCCAAAATACATCGAATATGAAGAAAAATCATATTTTGATTTTCTTCACATTCCAAGAATATATAAATATATACAATATTTTTTTTAATCCTCGTCGTACTTGAAAGAGTTCCTCCTCTGATTTTGATGGAGGGACAGTCTTTACTATTATTTTGTTCTTCAAAAATAAAAGACATGTATTTTTTTATACGTGCTCTAACTCACTTTTAAAGGATAAAACACTTGTCTGAAAGTCTTTTTTTTTCGAAGCGAATATCACTAAAACTGTAAGAGATAGAAAAAACTTTTTGAAATGAAAGTTTCACGAGTACTTTAATTAATATTATTAAATTTTATACAAAAATTTTTTTATTTATCCGCATCACTTTTTTAAATTTTGATTTTGTTTATGATATACAAAAAATTACGTTGTGACAGTTTTCCACTAAAATATTATTACTAATATAATCACTTACGTAAAATTTATGGTCTCCCTATTTTACTTCCAATAAGAAAGGAAAACTGAAGGAATAATCTTTATATCTGAATCTTATCCAAACTATGACTTCTGGAATCGATCCTCTTAAATTATTACTTAGTCTTGGAATGTCCTTGGTATCCTCTGAAGTTGTCTCAAGAATGTCTTTGAATATCTATGCTCTTAGATCAAGAGATTACT